CTTCACTAACAATGCTCTGACTCAGCTATCAAAAGCAAATTTAAATTGATTACAAAGGGTTGGATGGCAACAGGTCCCAGCATACAGCGTCTGCTACTCAATCCGCGGATTATATTCCAAGCTCCCATAGACAAAGACGGGGGAAACAGAGAAAACGGGGGACGTTTCCACTGGGGGACTCAGAAGGTTTTGTGGACGTTTGAGCGTAATATGAATCCTTAAGGTTTTCAGGTTAGCTCTTATCATGACCATTACAGGGTGATTGTATAAAAAATGACCCGAGTACATTCATCCGCCTCTACCGCCGTGGACTTCCCCGAGTCCCGAGTATTGATGTTGTCGTCCACACCTTCCCTGGTCGTAAATCCACCAAACTGCGGTATATGCTCAAACTTAACTGCCTTGAGCAGATTAATGATGTTGCCTTCTCTCTTACGACCTCCCACCCTCCTATCCTCGTCTACTGTGATGGGTCTGTTACCACGCTGAGCAGCGCTGGGGCAGCTGTGTGGATTCCTGAGCGCCAGGCACGCAGGAAAATTAGGGTCCATGACTGGGCCTCCTCCACTGACACTGAAAGCATAGCCATCCTTGCAGGTATTCATGAGGGGGCGACCTATGCTCGCACTGAACGCCGGAACCTCCTTATAATCGGTGACAGCACTTCTGCGCTAGCGAGGCTCAAATTACCCTCCCCCTGCCGCCCAACACACCCTAGGCGCTGTCACCGAGCTAGAACAAACTGATGGCACCCGTGTCAAGTTTATTTGGATCTCGTCACATATAGGAATAACTACCTGTGACACTGTTGATCAGCTTGCCAAAGAAGTGACACAAGAAGAAGATATTGAAGCCACCCTCACTCTCTCCCTGAATCATCTCAAATCTCGCATACACGCCACACAACGAGAAGCATTCGACGAAAATTGAACACACCTGAAACAATGGGGCAGCGTCACACTATGCCACTATGACGCTGTAACCGGTGACTCCAACCGCCACTACAAAGAGTATCAATCCTTGACTTGATCTCAACAGATTATGTACATGAGACTGCGCCTAGGGTACAGGTACCTATGGGAGTACATTGGCAACCCTGAGCCTGGCCACACTGTTTGTAAACTTTGTGGCCAACCCGACTATCACACCCTCTCTCACTACATCCTCACTTGCCCTATGACCTCCTCCTACAGGTCCCCAGCTGTTACCAACACCTCTTCCCTCCCTAACCAGATATCCCTCCTCCTAGTGACAGGCCTGGCACTTGACTTTATTAGGGACCTGCCACGCTTTGCCATAAACAGATGAAATGTACCGGGAATTTTCCCTCCACACACTCATCATTCTGTCACTTTTTGTAACTTGCTGACAAAACCTATGACCCTTCAGGCTTTTATGCCCTTAATGCAGGAGTCATAAATGCTAGCATGAACTTAGCATGCTTTCCAGATGGGCACTGTAAACGCTTCTGCACTTCACCATGCACAGGATGTAACGGGGTGCCCAATAAACTAGCCCCCTCCGGGGCAATCTAATCTAATCTATTTTAATTAGTTCATTTGGAGATGCTCATGTATTTTGATGAAGGTCAACTATTTTTTTTATTGTGACTGAATGCAATATTTTTTTGTAGGAAGTAAATGACCCGGTAGTTAAGTCATGATTGATGTTTCACCCTTCCTCCCACTCTTGATTTGGTCAATGAAAAACACAACCCAATGCCTGGCTCGCTCTGCCATCTACCTAAACAAGCTACATACTGTCCAGGGGGTCTGGTGGCAGCGATCTTAAAATTTAGAGTAGATTTAAGTTATCCCCTTAGGATTAGTGACCCCAGAATGGACAGTACAGTGGTCCCTCGGTTAACGAGCGCCTCGGTTAACGAGATTTCGGTTAACGAGTTACCTCCCATAAAATTCTTAGATTCGGTTAACGAGCAACCCCTCGGTTAACGAGTTTCTTACGAGCCGACCTCAACAAGTTTTGGCTTGCACTGGGCGGTCAACCAGCTGTAGCATTAGTCCGCCAATACATTAATCGGTTCTAGGGCTTAAATTCCTTACTATTTTAGTAAATATCAAGAAGTTTATACTATTCAATAATTTTAAAAGTTTAATATTAAATTTTTTAGTAATTTTAACAATTATTTAACATAATTGAAGGTAAAGTGACTAGTTTAATGCGCGGCATCCAGCCTCTTAACACACAGCAAACAGGCGTTAGTCTCTCTCTGTTTTCAGTGGAGGTAACATCTTGCTTGAGACTCTCTTCAACTAAATGCTTTTTTTTCTGTGTTTCCAAGCAAATTATTGGTCATTTTGAAATTTATTTTACATATTGACAATATATAGCGCAGTGTTATTTTAAAGAAAATATTCTTTATTTACAACAAGTTTAACTTTAAAAAGCACGTGTTGACATTGTTTGAATCCAGCATGGGGCCTAAGAGATCAAGAAAAGCGATTTCAATCCAAACCAAGCAGGAAATCATAAAAAAACGTGAACAAGGCATTAGAACAAATTCTTGCACAGAAAGACAAATTTAAAGAAGTGAAAGTGAGAAACAAATCTACAAGAGTGTTTAAAAGTAGATCTCTAATTGCAGAAACTGAGAGGTTACTTATCATCTGGATTCGGGAAAAACAGATGAAAGGTGATTCAGTTTCTACTGAATTCATTAGTGAAAGAGCCAGGGAGATTTACAAACATTTAAAGACAGATCAACCTGGTTCTTCAGGCACAGAATTTGAAGATTTTCGGGCCAGCAAAGGCTGGTTCGAAAAATTTAAGAAAAGAAGTGACATTTTCAGTGTTGTTAGGCATGGTGAAGCTTCTAGTGCTGATAAGGAAGGGCTTTCAAAGTTTTTAGATGAATTTAAAAAACTGATGAAAGAAGAAAATTATCTTCCACAGCAAGTGTTCAATGTGGACGAAACTGGGCTGTTCTGGAAAAAGATGCCCAAAAGAACATTCATCACCAGAGATGAAGCCTCTTACCTGGGCATAAACCCATGAAAAACCGTCTCACTCTATTGCTTGGTGCCAATGCTTCAGGGGATTTCCGACTGAAGCCTACGGTATGCTTGTCTACCACTCTGAAAACCCCAGGGTGTTCAAGCAACAGAAAGTGGTAAGAACAAAGCTTGGAGTTTATTGGAAGTCCAACCGTAAGGTATGGGTGACAAGACAGCTCTTTTAATGAATGGGCTGTTGATGTGTTTTGCCCTTCTGTCAAGAGCTACCTAACCACCAATAAACTCCCTTTAAAGGCTCTTCTCCTCATGGATAATGCTCCTGGTCATGACCCTGACCTTGCCAGAAATTTTGAGTATCAATTTGACTTTGTGAAAGTGTTGTTTTTGCCTCCAAACACTACATCAATCATACAGCCAATGGACCAGAATGTGATCAGCAACTTCAAGAAATTGTACATGAAGAAAATGTTTAGGAGGTGTCATCAGGCAACTTCCCATGATCCTGAACTAACACTGAAACATTTCTGGAAGACACAATTCAACATCCTAGAGGCTGTAAAATTGATTGTGTCATCATGGCAAGAAGTCTCCACTAGATCCCTCAATTCTTCATGGAAAGCACTGTGGCCATCAGTAGTCCATGATTTTGAGGGATTTGAGAAAGAAACAGAGTTGGACCAGGAGATTGTGTCCATTGGTCAGTCATTGGGCCTTGAAGTGGAGGAGGAGGATGTGGAAGAGCTTGTGATGTCTCATGAGGAGGAACTTACTCCTGATGACTTGAAGCAACTGGATGAGATGTTACAGGTAGAGGCTGACAGTGGTGAGGAGAAAATTAAAAGTGATGACCATATGTCAGCTAAACAGTTGAAAGATGTGATTTACCACTGGAAGAAGTTCAGGGAACTGGCTTCAAAGCACCCAGAAGTGGAAAAAACTGAACTAACATTGTGTCATGTTGAGGACTCAGTGGTCTCCTTCTTTAAACATAAGTTAATGGTGAGGAGGACAGATGCCCCACAGACCACAATTGACACTTTCTTCAGTAAAAGGCAGAGGGAACAAGATGCTGTCCCTCAGCCTTCCACTTCAAGAAGGAGAGAGGATGTTCATGGTGGAGAATCTGTCAGTCCAGAGGTTCCTGACATTTTCATGGAAGGTGACTCACCTTCCAAGAAGCAGTAAAATGCTTCTCCTCCACCTCCACTTCCTTCTCTTCTCCCTTCTTTTCCTCCACCTCCCACTTCAAATTCACATCATCATCATCATCCAGGAGCCTTCTACGTACACACCTCAAAGTAAGTGAACTTTTCTACCTTTTTTGTTGAATTTAGGCAATTTTTGGTGAGCTGGAACCAATTACCCAAAAACCCATTGAAACAATGGTTTCGGTTAACGAGCAATCTGCTGGAACGGATTGTGCTCGTTAACCGAGGGAACACTGTATAGTACTAATAATTATTCTTGAATTGTTTGGCATTATCTATTAAAAAACTAGATTGTTTTTAGCTTATTTCATATTAAATAAATGAAACACTATTGTAATTTATTTGAAAGTACTTGTTTATATGTGTGTGTATTTAACAGATATTAAACAAAGGATTAACAAAACAGTTCTGCTGTTGTGACATTTATCCCTAATGAAAAATAAATGTATCTCTTGAAGGTCACACTCCACATCCAGTCACTGAAGATAATTGATCCAAATAATTTTCCAGTTGCACTACTTCTTATTATAATAGTCATCCCCCATGGTGGAACTATAGGATTCCTCTTCCTTTGTCTGTCTGACCTGAATCTTCTATTACTGCTCAATACCTAAAAATCATTGAAGGTGGTTTTTCCATCATCATTAGCAGAGATTTAGAAAAGGATTAGACAATAATGCACCTTAAATGGATTTTGCATTAGATAAATAATGGTGGCCTTTGGGAACAGTTTGAGACTTTGAAGTGGAATATACTGTATAGCTTCTTTTAAATCTCATGTGACCTTTGAGACAGATTTGGTGTACATGTGTTTCAGCTGGAGCAGCCCTTGCAGCGACTCTAGTGGGCTGGCTCGCTACAGGAGTCGCCATCACTCTGTTTCGGCCACGCACTAAGACTGTCCTCGCTTTCATGGCCATTCTCTCACTCACTGACTGTCTACTCCACTTATGTATGGTTAGTTAGCTGGTTACTGTTACAGATGAGCTATTTATTTGGCATTTTTCACTTTGACAACCATTGTTCGTGAACTCTCTTAATAGTTTTTAGCTTATCTACTAGTAATAAGCAATTTGCCAAGATGCCTTGAATATTTCTGCTTTTTAGGTGAACATCTCATGTGACCATGACATCATCAGGGGCATGGACCAGGTGCTTGAGTCTCGTGTTAAAGCTCACCCCGAACACCAAGTGTCTGTCCCAAAGAATAATATTACACTCCAGTGAGTACCTGATCTCTGTTTGATAGGTATAATTCACCTCTGAAATGTGGACTACCCAGTACTGTACATCAAGTGTGAAGTCTTCTTTATAGTTGTGAAATTCTACTACCTGTACAGTACAGTATTTTGTCAAGATTTTCCCTCTACTTAAATTACTTTTATCCTCTTCGCTACTGATCGGCTCGTTAACCACTTGGGTGGACGGTCGGTCACGTCTCTTTTATGCACTACTGTATTGTTACGTGCAGGGGAATGTATTTACACAATTGTTACCCATTCCATCTCCCCCAGCAGCACTTCCTTGGATGATTGCTCCTCAGAGTGCGGGTGCAATTTCAAGTTTTCGCCAGTGTGTGTGGATGGTGTCACAAATTTCTACAGCGCATGTTTTGCTGGCTGCACTGCTGTTGCAAAAGCCAATGGCACCATTGTAAGTTGTAATTGAAATTACTGTTAGTTACTGAAGTAGTTCATTAAAAGTATGAGAAATAAATTATAACTGACTGTTAAGTAGAATGCAGTCCTGTATCTTATTGACCATTTACATTGATAATATGGTTTAACTTCGTAATTTGATTGAACATACTGTACTTAAAATTCAATTTGATAATATGTTCTGTAATTCCAACTTCAGTATTTTTGTCTAATGGGTCTGAGAGTTGATCAGATTTCTTCTTTTTGCAGGTTTATAAAAACTGCACCTGTTCTAATACAGTGGAGTCTGTGGTAAGTAAATCCTCCCACCAAATACTGTACAATATATAATTAAACATATTAGCCACCAGAGTTAAAGAGATTAGTGTTACTGTTGCTAATATATTTTAAGATTTTTTTTAAAGGTATAATTTAGTGTTTATGAAAGTTACACTAAATATAATCAAGGTGGGTTGTCTTTGATTACCTCAGGGAGTTGTAACCCTGCCTTGTTGTTGTGCTGTTAAACACAACAGTTTTTTTTTCTCTCTCTCTCTCATTTGGGCATGCCTGAGAATTTATACTAAGTTACTCTATTATTATCTTTCTCATTACTTATTCAACTGGTAATTATGTTGCCATCACTCAGGCCTGCCTCACACAACATAAACATGGCTTCAGGATTAAAACCTCTTTAATTAGTTAGGCAGCTGACAAAGAGGTCAAGACATATAAATTCTAGGCATTTTCTGGCAGTTAAGTTATATTGGAGGAATGAAGTGTGATACAAGTACTGTGTGTACGTCAACAATGAACTTAAGCTCTCAGGCCATTGTGAGAAGAAGGTGAATTGGGCAACGAAGCTATTAGGTCTTATAAAAAGGTCATTTAGATATCTGGATGATCCGTCACTCGTCACGATTTTCAAGAGTTAGGTGCTTCCCGTCTGGAGTACTGTCACCTCGTCTGGTCCCGAGGTATGCTAGAGACTGTCAATTGATTGAGTGTGCAAAGGAGGGCCACCAGACTGGTACCTGCTCTATGGAACCTCAGTTACCCAGAGAGATTAGAAATGCCTGCAACTACCGAGCTTATACTACATTCGGGCGAGGGCTACCTATTCGAAGTGTATAAACATCTTAGGGGGCACTGCTTGCTCGAATGTATATACCTGGAGCTGGCAGATACCTGCCCCACAAGGGGTCACAGCTCAAGGTTGAAGAAGCCACAAGTCCAGAAAACTGTGAGGGCAAACTTTTTCAGAATGAGAATTGTGAACTTTTTAAACTATCTGCCAGAGAGTGTTGTGAGGGCACTGATTGTGAGCTCATTCAAGGCCAGACTTGACCAATACTGGAGCAGGTTTTGACATATTCAGGAGCCAGCGAGATGCTTATATGCCTCAAATAGGTCTCCCCTTGCTTGTCTGTAGTATAAGCTAAGCAATCTCAGGTGCTGTAATCTCTCAGGGTAGCTGAGGTGCAGTAGTGCAGGCACCAGTCTGGTGACACTCCTTTGGACATTTTCAATCAACTGACAGTCCCTAGCATATCTCGGGGACCAGATGGGGAAGCTCTTCACTCTTGAAGATCGTTACGAGGGACGGGCCGTCTAGATTTCTGAACGACCTTCTTATAAGACCTAATAATTTAGTTACCTGATTTACCTTCTTCTCACAATAGCCCGAGAACTTCACTCATTGTCAGCCTACACACCTCGGTCTTTTTCACATTGTCTCAATTAATGCAGTTTCTTCATCCCGTTGGGACGTATGATATGCCTCCTTACCGTTGGTACGTCCCAGGTGCAGCCTCTTACACTTCGTGACATTGAATCTTCGCAGCCATTTCTTTGACCATTCTTGAAGCTCACAGAGATCTTTCTGCAGTTCTTTAAAGTCTGCTTGGTTCTTAATTTCCCAAAATGACTTGGCATCATCCTCAAACATTTGTATGGAGGAATGTACAGCGTCGGGCATGTCATTTATGAAGCAAAAAAACAACAGCCCAATACACTGCCCTGTGGTACCCCGCTTGTGACAGGTACACATGATGATTTCGTGCCACTAATCACCACACACACACTGCTTGCGGTCATGGAGAAAGTCTCCGATCCACGCTTGGACATTTCCCCAAATCTCATACCCTTCCAGTTTAATTTTCAGCCTTTCATGGGGTACACTGTCAAAAGCCTTGGCAAAATCTAGGTAAATATTGTTGATTTTACCACCCTGTTCCAGAATTTGGGTCCAAATATCCAGTACCTTGAGTAATTGTGTTAAGCAGGAGCTCCCCGTCATAAAACTGTGTTGGCAATCCTTTACAAGGTTGTTTCGTATTAGTTGTAACATCATGGCATCTCTTATAATGCTCTCAAGTACTTTACATACGATGCTCGTTAGGCTCACCGGTCTATAGTTATTCATGGAGTGACGATCGCCCTTCTTGAAGATTGGACTCACATGAGCTATTTTCCAATCATTGGGGACCTTTTGCTCATCCAGGCATTTACAGAACAGGAACTCAGCAAGATCGTTGCACAACTCTCTTAGCACTCTGGGATTCACCCTTTAGCTTTAACAGTATATTTCTTATAACCTATTCTGTGAACACAATGTGGGTCAGTGCTGTGTCGAACCGTCTTTCCTCAAACGCAGGAAAATTAATCACATCCTCTCTTGTGAACACTGAGGAAAAGAAGCTTTTTAATGCCTCAGCTTTATCCTGGTCAGAATCTGCGTAACTACCATCTTCAAGCCTCAGGTCCGATGCTCCTACTCATGTTTTTATTTTCGACTTTGCATAGCGGTAAAATGCCTTTGGGTTTGACTTGACCACGCTTGCAACCAGCCTTTGGAACTCCTTTTCAGCCCTTCTACACTCCGACTTTGCTTGGTTCCTGGCTTTTGCATACATCCTCCTGTCCTGCTCATCGTTTGACCTAACCCACACCTTGAATATCTGGGTTTTCTTCTTAACTTTGTCGACCAGCGCATGGTTCATGTGTAGGGGTCTCCTTGTATTCCTAGAGGCACTGGGTTTGGTCTTGGGTATATATTTCTCAATCAAATGGTTCACTTTACTAGTTATGATATTCAGTGTAGTGTCTGCGTTCTTATGCCTTAGTGGGTCAGGCCAATGGATGCCCCTCATCTCATTGTAATTTTCCTTGTAATATTTGCATCTTGGCCTGGTTTTGTTGTGAACTAAGTAACAGTTAAATCTGAAGGACAGCATTGCATGGTGGCTGGTGCCAACTGGGGCTAGATGTTCCAGTTTGGCCACCACACCCTCCTCATTTGTTATGATGAAGTCCAGTGGCTTGGGTGTTTGCTCCCCTCTGTAATGCGTTGGGTCTTTAACATGTTGGAACAGAAAATTATCTGTCAGTTTCTACAAAAAGAGTAGTGGGGTTATTTAAGTCATTTGGTGTGAACTCCTTTCTACAGTCAAAGTCGCCATAGTTAAAGTCCCCCATGAGAAGGAGGTGGCTAGGGTTGAGCCTCGCTGCATTGCCTATTAAGGCTCTTAAGTTCCTTTAGTTTGGTAAGTTACAGTTTAGGGATCTGTAGGTACACCCGACAATAGGTAAGCCTCCTCCCTTTAATTTAATTTTACATCACTTGGATTCTTCAAAATCATCCTCTCCCTGTATCCTCGCCTGGCTGGCTTTAAGGTCTTGCCTAGCATTGATAACCACACCCCTCTTGCAAGTTTATTGAGAAAGGTTCGTAAATACTGTCAGTCATATCCGTCAATACTGAACTCACATTCCTCTCGGTCGATTCTCCTGTTCTTGTACAACAACAGTTCTACAACTACTATATCGGGTTGGTGTACCTTCAGTAGTGTTTCAAACTCCTCTCTCTTATCAAAGAATGTGTCAGTATTAGTGTACATGACATTCAGGCCGGAATTTGTTCTCAGTAAAGTCTCTGCTCTTGGTAGTAACCCCGGCTCCCTTCCATTCTCAGCATTGTATTTTGCAGGGTGTGGTTAGAAATATAATTGTTTACACGGCGCTCGCCTCCTCATGGGTGGGAGGTAGAGCTGATGACTCCTCCTGAGTGGAAGGTAGAACTGGTGCCCCCTCCTGGGTGGGAAGTAGAGCTGGTGCCTCCTCCTGGGTGGGAGGTAGAGCGAATGAAGGGCGTACTGCTGCCTCCTGGCTCTGTGTTGGCGCTCTTGCTTCCACTACCCTCCCCCTGAATATAACCCATGTACACCTGTCCTCGTTCCTCCTCGACTCCTCTGCTTCAAGCCCTGCAGGACCTTCCTGTGCTGTTTCCTCGGCATTACCGTGCAATCTGGGTGAATGAATCTCTTCCGAAATGCATCTCTCCTTGCTAAGTTTTTTGCCTGCCGAATAACTTCCCATTTCTTCTCACTCACTAGTGTGATCTTGTGGGGGGCAAGACTTGCCCCCTTGCTTTTGTCCCAGCCTCCTCACATCCTGAGGGGATGATGGCATATTCACAACCTCTGTACTGTACAAGTAATCTCAAACTGCAAATTATCATGTGTTTTCCTACTCTCAGCTCCATCCGACTGGCTGGTTGTAGCTGTAGTAAAATTAATGTAAAAATTAATATGGTTGTTTGAAGTTATGTTATTTAATGTTAATAAATGGAACAATATAAGTAGCTAACCATTAATGTTAAAGAAAAATTCCGAAATCCGAAATGCTTCTGGCCCCAAGGATTTCGGATACCTAAGGGATTGTCAACCTGTCCCTCAGACTAAAGTTAGGATAATATTGTGGGGTACGGGATATTGGGTTCACACTCAGGATGGGATGGAGAAAGGAAACTCACAATGTGCTCTTTGTATACATGTTGTATTGGATGTACAGTGCAGCTTGGTGCTGGGAAGTGGCAGCGTGGTTACAAGCGTGATGTAGAGAGAGTTGGTTGGTGAGGGTGCTCAGAGGACCAGCTTGTGGGCCGCCATGGTCGCCGGCGAGAGCGAGGGCCGCCAGGCAGGAGCGGAGGAGAAGGAGGTGTTGCTTGCTGGTGGCTGTAGGTAGAAAGAGGCAGGTCACCACGAGGTCAGGTCTTATATAGCGGGAGTAGGCGTGGCTTAATAGTTGACCTCAGTCATGTAAGGCGGCGCTGGTTGACCTAGACACGAGGTGCGGCTAGATTCGTGGTTCGACTCGTCAGCGACAAACAGCGTTTGTAGGGGAGGAATCCACTACAGTACTCCCCCTTCCCTCCAGGCGGTGTAGGAGACTTGTTGTCTGCAGGGTTGCATGGCACATGTGAGGCAGAACGGGCGGTGCATGCCTCATGTGAGATGTAATGGCGAGGGCGAGGATGAGCTGGCCGCTAGGGGAGACAACTGTCTAGACACACGAGATCTGTGGGAGAAGAGAGGGAGAAAAAGGGTGTGTGGGGGTGATGAATGTTGTGCTTCTGTCGCTGCAGGGGCAGCGTCATCATGGTCACTGGCTGGGATGACTGGGTCAGGGGCGACATCAGGAGGAGGGTCTATGATAGGAGCAGGTTCTACAACAGCAGCAGGGTCCATGACAGTAGCAGGGAGTGCCTGAGGGGAAAAAAAAACGGTGTGTGGGGACGATGAATGCTGTGCTTCCCTCTCGGCAGGTACAGAGTCCTCAGATGCGCCTGCTGGGGTCGATAGGACGTGGTGCTTGGGGCAGGAAGAGGAGCTGGTGTCTGCTTAGAGAAGCAGTGCTGCTCTAGGGTGTCTAACCTGCGGTGTAGAGACAGTAGCTGTAGAGCCGATGAGAGCTGCCTCTGTGTGGATAAGCCAGTCTTCCATGTTGCTTGAAGACTGGGAGAGTGATCGGTTTCTCCTCCATCCTGTCTGAGTGCGAATCTCCGAGGGTCACCATTTGTGGGGTTATGTGATATTTCTCCTCCATCATGTGTGAGTGCGAATCTCCGGGGTCACCATTTGTGGGGTACGGGATATTGGGTTCACACTCAGGATGGGATGAAGAAAGGAAACTCACAATGTGCTCTCTGTATACATGTTGTATTGGATGTACAGTGCAGCTTGGTGCTGGGAAGTGGCAGCGTGGTTACAAGCGTGATGTAGAGAGAGCTGGTTGGTGAGGGTGCTCAGAGGAGGACCAGCTTGTGGGTCGCCGGAGGAGCGAAGGCCGCCAGGCAGGAGCGGAGGAGAAGGAGGTGTTGCTTGCTGGTGGCTGTAGGTAGAAAGAGGTAGGTCACCACGAGGTCAGGTCTTATATAGCGGAGGTAGGCATGGCTTAATAGTTGACCTCAGTCGTGTAAGGCGGCGCTGATTGACCTAGACACGAGGTGCGGCTGGATTCGTGGTTCGGTTCGTCAGCGACAAACAGCATTTGTAGGGGAGGAATCCACTACAATATAATTGACATTTCTGGATTCCTTGCTGGTCAGGGAATATTTTGAATGGAAACTTCATATATTTTGCACAAAAGATAAATTATTTGCTTTGTGTAAACCAAATTATTACATTAGATCTAAAATTTGTATGTCTAATGCAAAATCCATGATGTTTATATTCAAAATGATCATCATATTGTAAGAATTCCAGCAATGTAAATTATATTCTGGCCGGGTAATTTGTATGAATTTTATGAGCTAAATAAAAAAAATTATACTTCACCCGTGTATATGAGTAGACGCACCGAGTAAAATGAAATTCCGGTTCTGGCTAGGTACCGTGTAAAGCGAAACCGCATAAATCGGGGTATTACTGTATACTTTTTAGTACTATACTTGATACTGAAACATTACTAAAACCCCACCTAAGTAACACATACAGGGTAGTAGGACTTAACCAGAGAGTACTTCTGTCCCTGAATCAAGCAGGGCTCACTTAACATCCAGACTGTAGCCAAGCAATAGTAGGTGGTCTCCAAACTAAGGCCCGACATCATGCATCTAGCTCAGCAACCACAGCAGGCAGTATCAACTCCACTCAGTGCCTCTGAGAACAAGAAATACAGCATGATCTGATGCTCTTGCTTATTTATTCACAGTAGTCATGACACTAGCGGGGAGGACTGGCTACAGTATTTACAGAGCTATTACGTTGACTCATATACACATGGTTCTATTGCAAGTAGCACTCTTAAGAGTTTACATTTATTTCTTTAGGCTAATCTTTTTAATTTTAATCAGTGTCTGAGCTATCAATAGTTCAGTAAAACATTCACTTAAAGGGAACAAATTGAAAATCATATCTAAAAGGTTTCTCCTTCAAATGAACAAGGACAAGCTTTCATCGACACCTTGCACTTTCACTGATTGATTACAGATGGTTAATTTCAACATTTCACAAAGCTACTTCAATGCATCTATGAGATTCTCTTGATATTTCCAAGCTGGAAGGGTACAGAATTTTGGAAAGTGTCCTAGCGTAGATCAGAAATTTTCTTCATGGCCGCAAGTAGTGTGTAGTGATTAACGGCACGGAATTGTTATGCGTACCTGTGAAAAGTGGGGTACTACTGGGCAGTGTACTGGACCTATTGCTGTTTGTTTGTTCATTTCATAAACGACATGCCTGAAGTTATATACTCCTACATGCAAATGTTCGCAGACAGCGCCAAATTATTCAAGGAAATCAAGAATCTCACAGACTGTGAGGAGCTACAAAAAGATCTCTGTCAGTTTCAGGAGTGGTCAAAGGAATGGTTAAGATTCAACATCACAAAATGCAGGAGGATGAACCAAGGTCATGCCAAACAGTAACGAGGCATATCACATGTCCGCAGCATTAGCGGAGACCAAATGTGAAAAGGACCTTGGTGCATATGTTGATAACAAACTAAAGTTTTTGGACCATTGTGAGAAGGTGAATCATGCTACTAAGCTGGTGGGTCGTATAAGGTCTAACTACAATGTGACAACTAAGAGAACCACAACAGATGAAACGGCGTGAAAGTACTTCTGATGGGCTCATAAATTAATGTAGTTTATATCATAATTTTTCACTGTAATTACGTATGGGGCTTTCAACATATTACTCAATTGATCTTGAAAGCCTCGACTAACATTAGGTATATATATCTTAATGCTACACATACGGACTTAATTTTAATTTGTAAATTACTTTCTACGTGTCATTTCTGGGACATACAAGAGTGCACATATATTTGTTATGGGTGACTGAAGAAAGAAATAATCTATTGAGTGTAATATGAATCATCATGTCTCACGAACAATATCTACTAATGTCCTTAGTATATTGTCATTGGTTCCCACCCTATGGGTAGGTGTTAGGGCATCCATCCGTAAAACTCTGCTTCAACATGCCGGCTGGCAACCGGGTCAACAGAGTTGTGCCCATCCCCTGGTCTTGGGCTGGCATCCTGGGTTTGCATTGGTGGGAAAGGAAGGAGGGGGGGGGGGGGTCATTCTGTTATGGTTTTACGATTTTACCCAACAGCTGCCATTAGGTAATCACAGCTTACCCACTCAAGCATGGAAAATGGGTATAAAACACTGATGATGGTTAGAGTTTTTGTGTTTTTAGATGATTATGAATAGATCCTACTTTCCTTTCAAGTATCCTTGATATATTTTCAGGCAATGATGCAAACCTTCGTACATGTACAGTATTAGGTTACATAAAATCATTAATTCTTATTACCATTGTTTGCCCCAGAGTGTCATATCCTCTAGTGTGACCTCATATGTAGGTACAGCTTCTCCTGATGTAACCTCAGAGGGGACCAGTGCATCACCCGTGTCTTCAGCAGTGGCTGGATACTGCCGCTACGACTGTCCCACCTTCTACATGTACCTCGCCCTTACTGTCCTCACCAAAATGACCAATGCTGCCAGCAGAGTTCCTGTAAACATCATATTATTCAGGTTAGTTCCATATCTCTCATACATCAAGTATTCTCAGGGTGTTTCCCATATTTGTTGTTCCAGTTCCATACACTCTTAAAACCAATAGTTTCACCACACTTTATTGAACATGGAGGAAATAAATAGGAAGAATGTGAAAGTTCAGTCTTCCACATATTTTCTTAATCCCTGAAAATAAGCATTTTATATCTAATCTGAAAATGGAGAGCCTTCATTCCCACCACAGTGAAAGTATGTAGTCATAACCTTAGTCATCACTAATGTCCAGTATTGTGAAGTACTGTGTCATAATCAGACAACTCTATGATCCAGTAAAATATAAATTAACCTTAGACAGGCATTTTAAATTGCAGTGCTTTAGTCAACATTTTTATTAATATTTATATACAGGTGTGTACAGGAGCGAGATAAGGACTTGGCTTTGGGTGTGTTCAATGCCGTCCTGGCCTTAGGTGCTTCCATACCAGCCCCCATAATCTTTGGTTGGGTCATAGGTAAGACATACTTTTGACACTTGTTACCTCACTGTCTCCTTTGTGTTACACTTATTACTTCATATATTGCTTCATGTTATACTTGTTGCTACATTTTACTATTTCATGTTTTATTTATTCTCTCTCTCTCTCTCTCTCTCTCTCTCATTTATTATCAGTTTCACAATTTTTGTTATATAGTACAGGTACACCACTGGTTATCCGGAAACTGATGGTCCGGCACCTCCTTTAGTCCAGTCAAAATTATAAGAGGGCACTTAACTTCCCTCCCTCCCAGCCTGGGTGAAGCTCGTTTTAGGCTTAAAGTTTTTATCTATAAAATGTAGCTGACTAGACATAGCAAAATATAAATTACATTGCTGAAATTCTTGTAAGATAGTGATTAATTTGAGTATGAACATCTCATAGCTTGCACAAGAGATAGAAATTTTAGTCTAGTGTAGTACTTTTGAGTACAAGTTTTTTAACTTATATTTTCGGGTAGATATATGTAACTTTGTTCTTTAATTTTACTCATTTACATGCACACACCATACTAAAGATATACAGTTGTACCCCACTTAACGCGGTCAATTGAACCCAGAGGGTCCCGCGTTAAGTGAAATCCGCGTTAAGTGAACAACAGAACATATGGGATTAATTCCAATAGAAACCGGCCCGACCCCCAAACTCCACTTTTTGAAGGCACATACCTATGTTGTAGTAAAAATAACATCTTAATTTTATGATGGTACATGCACACAATTAATACTTAAGAGAAATAGAGAAATACAGTCGCCAAGTTAATGTCCATTCAAATAATGGACTCAACTCCCTCCCCCTCTCACACTACACAGCCGGCTAACAGATGGTCGGTCGGTCCCTCCCTCCCCCCCCCACCCCCCACCAACCGTCCCAAGGAGATGTGTGGGATAACCTCAAACTAAAGTTAGGAAAATATAATTGACATTGCTGGATTCCTTGTAAGACCAGGAATATTTTGAATATAAATGTCATATATTTTGGACAAAAGATAACATAGTTACCTAGAGAAAAATTTTTATCTAAAAATTGTAAGTTTAAAGCAAAATATATGATGTTTATATTCAAAATGATCACCAAATTATAAGAATTCCAGCAATGTAAATTATATTCTGACCGGGTAATTTGTATGAATTTTATGAGCTAAAACAAATATCTTCAGTTAATAAAAAAAAAAATAATCTTCACGACACTATCTGTCAATCAAAGTACCCCACCTTGCCTCCCCCCCTCTTCCAACCGCGGTCAGTCCCAACCCTCCCCCCCACCCCCCACCAATCCTCCCTTCCAGAGTTTTTAACATTTAGTATTAAATAATACCTCAGATTAAAGTTAGGATAATATATATTGACATTGCTGGATTCCTTGTAAGACCAGGAATATTTTGAATATAAATGTCATATATTTTGCACAAAAGATACCATAGTTACCTAGAGAAAAATTTTTATCTAAAAATTGTAAGTTTAAAGCAAAATATATGATGTTTATATTCAAAATGATCACCAAATTATAAGAATTCCAGCAATGTAAATTATATTCTGACCGGGTAATTTGTATGAATTTTATGAGCTAAAACAAATATCTTCAGTTAATAAAAAAAAATAATAATTCTTCACAGGGTAACAGATGGTCGGTTGGTCCCTCCCTCCCCCCCACCCCCCACCAACCGTCCCAAGGAGATGTGTGGGATAACCACTAAATTTTAATAAATAATACCTCAAACTAAAGTTAGGATAATATAATTGACATTGCTGGATTCCTTGTAAGACCAGGAATATTTTGAATATAAATGTCATATATTTTGCACAAAAGATACCATAGTTACCTAGAGAAAAATTTTTATCTAAAAATTGTAAGTTTAAAGCAAAATATATGATGTTTATATTCAAAATGATCACCAAATTATAAGAATTCCAGCAATGTAAATTATATTCTGGCCTGGTAATTTGTATGAATTTTATGAGCTAAAACAGGCAGTCAGGCAGGGTGGCGGGTGGGGCAAATCTAAAAATAGCGTCTCGGACACCGCGTATATGTGGAAAAAATCCGCGTTAAGTGAAAGTTCAGCTTTGGCAAGGCACCGCGTATATGCGAAAACGCGTTAAGTGAAACCGCGTTAGGCGGTATATATATATATATATATATATATATATATATATATATATATATATATATATATATATATATATATATATATATATATATATATATATATATATATATATATATATTACACCTAGACCCCGACTTACGACTACGTGGACTTACGACCGTCGGGACTTACGACCCCTCAGAAAAATTTTTTTTTAAATGACACACGCATTTTCTATACCGAAACGTTTCCAGTTAATGTAGTCTCCATGTATAATTAGAAAATTATGGGGGCCCCATGTGCATTCAGCTGACTACATTAAAGGTTAAGTGCTCAGTCACACTGTATCCATTCCTTATTATTTATTACTTTCACTGTACTGTATCCATTCATCATTATTCATTACTTTTACTGTACTGTATTTCATTGTAGATTTTTTATTAAAAAAAATTTTTTTTTAATTTTTCTATGTCGGACTTACGACCTGGATTTGGGTCCCTAACCCCGTCGTAAGTCGGGGTCTAGGTGTGTGTGTGTGTATATATATATATATATATATATATATATATATATATATATATATATATATATATATATATATATATATATATATATACATACATACATACATACATACATACATACAGTCCCCGACTTACAACGGGGTTAGGGACCGATGACCAGATCGTAAGTCGAAAAGGTGAAAATAATACATAGAAAATCTAATATGGGTGTCTCTTTTTCGTCTCAGCACCACGAGAACTCTCACTTTCATGCTTGCCAGCCATTTTAAAGGGAATTACAAACAAACAAAATTTCATTACACAGCGCGATCACTAACGTCGGGACTGGAAAATAAGTAATTTGAAAAATATTTTATACGACTGCGGCAGTCGTATGTCCGGGTGGTCGTAAGTCGAGTAGGTCGTAAGTCAAGGAATACCCTGGTCACACGCATAAGGTCTAGGGTTTGAGTCCTGGCTGGTGAGGTCGTTGATTATATGTTCAAGTCCGCATGTTATATGGACTAAGTGCAAGTAATGAATACCATGATACCGTATATGTGGCCATCCCTCTCCGTCTTCTCCTGTTCGTTCACGAAACTTTTCGGGCTTCCGCCCTGGGTGTTCTGATTACTCTCAGCATGCAGGCCAGAGTTAAGTCTTCATAACTCTATTTTATTAATGTCCCCAGTAGCGGGTTCAGCCTATCCAGGCGAACTTTAGCGAGGCTGCTAGTCTTAGTGATCCTTCCGGATGCTGACCTTCCTGTCTTGCTAGCAGTCTAGAGTTATGTTGGGATGAACCTTGTATCCTTAGTATGGGTTAAATGAGAACCATTCAGGGTGGAATTCTCAGCCCAATACATCTTGCTGGAGTAATGGTGAACGATGTTAGCCAATGGAGCGCTATGGTAGCAGCTCATCACTGTCAACCCTTCTGGGTGACTTGATGCTCACTCAGGCATCATCGCTCAAGCATGATTATTTGAAGCGGTGATGTCTGTGCACCGTGATTGGCAACAAATAGAGAACTTGGTGATCCCTCAAAATATAAATGCTCTAAAATGAAGTTAGTTTGATTAAGAAACAAAGTTCATTGAGCTGAGGGATAATTGAGATAAGAGAAGGGAGAGGTGTATGATATAGTGAGTTAGTTGTTTATGATTGTCATACTGGTGACTTATATAACAATAAGAGATATTAAATGAAATAACTTACTAAAATATCACAGTTACGAGTCATATTGATTATGTTTGGGAGAAAATGTTATCTCCCTTGTATTATTATGATGATACAATGTGAATCATAGTGTTTCTCCTAGTTTAGATGAGTGATGTGCAACTGGAGGATGAAGGACAGTTGTCTGGACTGCTAGATGACGGAGGAGACCATGGAACGGTCCCTGGGGAACATGTGTTGAGTGAGGAGCTGTAAGGAATTGAGAGTTCAGCTCATACACTACATACAAAGATGTGAATTCAGTAGTAGTAGTAGTTTCACCAATGACCCAAGGGGACCATACTACATGTAATTATCAAGGATGTAGGGCCACTTGGATTACCAAGTTAGATCCTCATTTGGCTTGCATAATTCCTAGCAGCTGTGTCTCAGAAAACCTGTTTTCACCATTGGATTGTGCAGTTTATGATCAAATTTTGACAATTAATCAAGCTGCTGGAGATAAGAAGGAATTATCAAAGATCCAAATTAAGAGTAGATGGAATAAGGCCTTAAAGAGTAAAATTCTAAATGTAAAACACTGGAAAGATCCCAAGTTGGCAGAAAGTTTAGAATTATGGGTGATAGGTAAGAGGCTTAATCCCCAGTTAGACCAACCTGCTTCTGCTAAGAAAAGTAGGTTATTGGATATTTAAGGCAAGAACCTATACCTAGTCAACCCAATTTTAGTGGATTTCAGAATCAGGATGAGGAAGTTGGCACTAATAGTGTTCAGTCACTAAAGCAGTGAGAACCTGTTGAGACTGACTTCATCCTGTCCCCATTTTGGCAACCACTTCCACCTGGGGCAAAAGTGTTGGTTAATATGAGTGGAAACAGGCTGCTGTCGACTGCCATGCAGCTGATGGAGAACATTGAGTGTAAGGATGATCCAAACAGGCCTTGGGAAACATTGGTAAGACCTAAATCTCCTTTGTTTTCAACCACATCCGAGTCTGTGGATTCCTTATTCAAGATATTTTATGAAAATGTTTCTAAACTTCCTGATCTCTCAGCACTTAAAAAGAGACAGGAAGGCCAAGCAACCGAGGGTCATCATTCATTGCATTCAAAAGGTGATACTACAATTTCTTGGCCTGATAATTGCCCAAAAAATTATCTCTGAAATAGATTGAGTCTGGGCTAAAATAGTGAAAGACTTAACAT